CTCCATTCCCCTTTAAGAATCCCCGTATGTGTCTCTTTGTGTTCCCCATGTGTCCCCTGGTCTTCAGCCCTCCAATGTATCCCTCCCAGGTCCTGTGTTCCTTTGGTCTCCCGCAGTCACCCCTCTGCAGTTTTTTATAGGTTCAGCTTCCAAGAGGCACCAGTCCAGTCAGCGCCAGTTCCAGCGGTGGTCCAGGAGGCTCCGCCCCCGGGCCGGCCTGTCCAAGAGGCTCCACCCCTGGGTCTGCCTGTCCAGTTGTCAACGCCCAGTCCGGCAGCACCAGCCAAGGAAGCGGTCCAGTCTGCAGCGGCTCCGCCTCCACTCCAGAAGCCGGCGGCTCCTCCTGCAGCGGCTCTGCCTCCACTCTAGAAGTCGACGGTTCAGAAGTCGACGGCGATCGATGCCTCGTGTCCCGAAGTCGACGCCTCTTCCAGTCCGACGTCTCCCCCTCCAGTCCAGAGGTCTACGTCTCCCCCTCCAGTCCAGAGGTCTACGTCTCCCCCTCCAGTCCAGAAGTCTACGTCTCCCCCTCCAGTCCAGAAGTCTACGTCTCCCCCTCCAGTCAAGAGGTCTACGTCTCCCTCTCCAGTCCAGAGGTCTACGTCGCCCCCTCCAGTCCAGAGATCTACGTCGCCCCCTCCAGTCCAGAGGTCTACGTCTCCCCCTCCAGTCCAGAGGTCTACGTCCCCTCGGCCTCGTCCAGAATCATCGCTGCAATCCCCTCCAGCTGAGTCCCCTCTTTGGTCGTCAGAGTTCCCTCTTCAGCCTCCTCCTAAGTCCCCTCTATGTCGCCCTCCTCTGACGTCCCCTCTACGTCACCCTCCTCTGAAGTCCCCTCTTCGTCGTCCTCCTCTGAAGTCCCCTCTTCGTTGTCCTCCTCTGAAGTCCCCTCTTTGTCGTCCTCCTTCAGGGTCCCCATTCCTGTCTCCTGTTCTCTGGTTCCCCGTCGTCGGCCTCCCAGAGTCCCCTGTTCCCTGGATCCCCGCCGCCGGCCTCTCAGAGTCCCCTGTTCCCTGGTTCCCCGTCGCTGGCCTCCCAGAGTCTCCTGTTCCCTGGTTCCCCGTCGCCGGCCTCCCAGAGTCTCCTGTTCCCTGGTTCCCCGTCGCCGGCCTCCCAGAGTCTCCTGTTCCCTGGTTCCCTGTCGCCGGCCTCCCAGAGTTCCCTGTTCCCTGGCTCCCCATCACCGGCCTCCCAAAGTCCCCGGTCCCTCCTCGCCCGCCCTTGTGGGTTGTTTTCTGTTTGGTCCCTCCTCTCCCACCCTGTGGTTTCTCGTGTCCTGTTTTGTCTTGTCTTTTGTGGTGTTTTGTTCGTGTTTTGGCATCTGGTATCCGCCCCTTGGGGGGGGGGGGGGGGGGGGGGGGGGCTGTCATGGTCTGCGTCTGTGTCTCCCTCATGTCTCACTCTCCTTGTGTGCTCCATTCCCCTCTAAGAATCCCCTTATGTGTCTCTTTGTGTTCCTCATGTGTCCCCTGGTCTTCAGCCCTTCAGATTATCCCTCCCAGGTCCTGTGTTCCTTTGGTCTCCCCCAGTCACCCCTCTGCAGTTTTTTATAGGTTCAGCTTTTCATTTTATTAGTCTCTTTAGTGTGTTTTCCCACAGGTTTTCGTAGTTTTCCTCCCCCTTAGAATATTAGTTATTTTTGCTGGCTTTTCTTGTCTTTAGGTTTTTTCTCTTAGGTCATGTTAGTTTCCTCCCTGATTAGTTAATGCTTTCACTTGGTTTCTCTCCCCACACACTTGCAGCCTGTCTCCCATCATGCCCCAGTCTCTGTCTGTTGTTGGGTCATTGTCTTGTGTCACCTTTGTCTCGTTCCCCTCTCTAGTCTTGGATCTTCGGTTTGGATATTCTAGGTTTTTGTTATTTGGGACTTTTGAATGTTTTTTTTTTTTTGGCTCTCTGCCTGTTTTGGACTTATTTTTAAATAAAAGGATTTTTGACTTTATTGCTCCACCAAGCGTCATCTGGTTTTTCTGCATCTTTGGGTCCTAACCTCCTCTTGGCTCCCCATCGTGACAGGAACAAGCTGTCTGATCGCAAGTTTGAGAAGCTTCTCCTCATGAGGTACAATTGTTGGCTTGAGGGAACAAATGTGGACTAGCACTGATATGATGACGTGTTTCCTCCAATGGTGCACTAAAAGGTGAAGCAGGTTAATATTTCCAAGTGAAACATAGACCACTGAAGCTCAAAATCCACAATTATTTCAGCAGTTGTTTAATTTATTTACATGGCCTGACTGCAAGAAATATTTTGTTTAAACATTGACTGTTTATTATTTATTTAGTTTCTCTTACTGAGGCTGAAAATACTTTAAATTTGCCCATCATTACTGAAGATGAGGTCTCCAGCTGGTGCAGTTCAGCTGTTTTCCGTTACGTTTACAAAGAATGGATAAACCTCAATGTGTTTATGTTGAATAATTTTTGCACTGTTACTGATATAGTTCCTAAGTGGTCTGATGAGCAATTTAATGTTGGCACTGCTAAAAGTATACTTTCTACCCATTTCAATGGCAAAAATAAAGATACCTATCAAGGTTTCAACATACAGTATGTCATGTTTTGTGTGATCCACTGCTTTTTTGTAGTAATAGCCTACTAGGTACAATGATTAGATTTATAGCACTGTGCGGCATCAACCACAAAATTATGTGTTTGCATTTGTAGAGGGTTAAACCAATAGAAATAGATTAAAACAGATGGATAAAAAGTGACACATAAAACAACCATTTTCCTTTCTAATTTAGTTTCATTCATTTCATCATTCACTTGCACTCACAGTACTACACTGCCATTTTATGTTCAGACCACTAGGTGGCGGAGTGAACTTGTGGCAGGATAGGGCTAACAAGTAAGCAAGCCAGAAGACCAGCAACCTTGCAGGCTATCCAGTTAAGGAACTGAAACATTTTAATAAGAAAAATCATAATAAAAACAGTTACTTTCCCTAGTAACTATTTACTTAAAAACTAACGAGTAACTTAAAGTAACTCAGTTACTCTTGAAAGAAGTAACTAGTAATGTAACTACGTTACTAATTTAAAGTAACTTTCCCAACACTGCTTGTGGGTGAGGTGGAGAAATTAAAGGAAGTGCTTTTGCAAAACAAATAAGAGAAAATCCACGGAGTGGCACAGCGTTGCTGAAGCCGTCAATGTTGTGAATTCTTCAGAGAGATCTGTGGCGGATATAAAAAAACGGTCCAATCGGAATTCGATCCCCAGACTCCCAGGTGAAAGTCACGTGCGCTAACCAGTCAGCCAAACGGAGATCTCCCTTGTCCAAGTAGCCAGGGCGCATGATCAATCGGGTCACAGTGACAGGACACACAATGTCACAGACGCATGACAGTCTGTCTCAATCTGTCCCCCTGCTGATATTCTGCATTCCATATTCTGCGCTTCAGGCTGTGTGTGAGTGTGCGTGCATGTGTGTGTGTGTGAGTGTGTGTGCGTGTGGGGGGTCTTGTTCTGTGTGAAAACGAAGCAGTACAAGTGATAATGCTGCAGGATTTCATAATTGTATCCTTCTCAGCAGCAGCACTGCAGGTGCTCTCCGTGTACAAAATGGGCGTAAGCCAGGTCCTTAGTCAACTTAAAAGTTTCGCACATTTTTCTGCTAAGTTTTCTTTCAAGAATCCCAAAGTTTGCGTGGAAAGTTGCTTACGCAGTTTTCCAACCCCGTTTTGTGCGTAAGCAAGCTTGATAAATGAGACCCCAGGTCTGTAACGGGTTAAAACTGTTAAAGTTCAACCTGGAGTATAAAACAAACTTACAACAGATACCATCATGTCATGAATTAAAAAAAAAAACAAGGGTGTGAAAAACAAAACAAAGAACTCCATCTCAGAATCGTGTGTGTGTGTGTGTGTGTGTGTGTGTGTGTGTGTGTGTGTGTGTGTGTGTGTGTGTGTGTGTGTGTTTTAGTGGCTCAATAAAGGAACTCTAACATCACTATGACACAAATCTGGTGGCTTTTAAACATTTTCTGAACTGTGACCCTCAATGCCCCTCCCCCCGGCTCATTTGTTTCTGCCCTTGTTGCATTTTAGTACTAAACCAGCATATCTCAATACGGTGTTGTCACTGACTGAAGTCAGCAAAACCGCCACAATTTGCATAAAACACACTCAGCAAGCCAGCTCTGTAACTAATTTCATTATTTTCTTTTGGTTCCTTAAGGCGAGTCTAACTCTGGACAGCATGACGAGTGTTAAACACCCAAATAAGAATAAATCATAGATGAAAAGAGAAAAAACTGCACATTAGAAGATGTACTGTGGTGCTGAGGCTTAACAGAAATCAGTGTAGGATTGAAGAACATAAGAATGTCAGTGTTTGAGATGTCAACACAAACGTGAAGGATAACTTAACAGCTACATAGTTTTACACATGAGCCTAAAGCGATGGGATGTCACCGCTGAGCTGCTGAATGATTTAACACGTGTACAGACTTCCATACCGACACTTCATTGCCTTGAGTCTAAAACGTTAATGGTTCTGTCAGTGTTAGTTCCAAACAAATAGCTTCATTTTTGTTTCTCAGTTTGTGTTAGGATGGCAGTGGCTGAATAAGGACAGTGGTTTTCCACAGAGGTTTGGTCCCAGGCCCCAGGAGGCCATGTGTATCCTTGGGCGAGATACTGAACCCTGAAAGTTGCCACTGTACAAACAGCAGCCCACTGCTCCTTGGGGGTGGATCAGATACCCACACCTACTTTTGCCTGTTTTAGGAGAAAACATGTCTCAGATAGCTTGAACATGTTCTATGTTATTAAGGTCCTTTGACTCATGCAAAGAAGCTGAGAGCCCTTGAGATGAACATCTGAAGATGTTTAAGAAAATTTCCTGTTTACAACAGCCACAGCCTGCAGAGATGCTGGCTTAAGTTCCTCTACTGAGACTAAACACAGGTTGGGTTGTGCTACAATCTCAGCAGATTGTCTTTGCTGCTTACTACTGGACGGTAACAAAAATGTTGTAAGGAAACAAATGTGCTCACCCCAGAGAAACTCTTTAGACCAGATGGAGGCTCCTAGTGATGAAATGGTGTGTTGAGTAGAAAACAGCACAACTGACTTACAACAAATGCATACATGTCAATGCAACTGGACAGATTAAATGCTTAACACTGTTTGATTTAATATTTTGGTTGTCAGATTGCGTGCCATGCAAAGTTGAGTGATCTGGTTTGGTGGAATCATTTGACTTAACTCAAAATCACAGGTTTGGGTCACAAACTGACATGCACTGATGCTTGAGTAACTGAAGAAGACATGCTGGTTTATAGTGCTTGTTTTGTTGAGGCATTTTGCAAAACCTATCTTGGGTCATCATTACAGCAGAGTTCGTGCTGGAACACTCGTTTGGATCTGATTGTAATGTCAAGACAACATTCAGGTCTGCATGCTCTGATTGACCTTTACTTCCTCTCCACCTCTGCTGAATGATGATGTGCAAAAACATTTCCTAAATCTGTTAAAACTGATCAAATTAATCATTTTAGGTCACTCCAGAAACAGGGCGGGGCCAGCTCTTGCAGGTGCTCACTGATTGGACACCTCTGGTAGCACATCTGGTGATTGACAGATTGACAAATCTGGTGGCTATCTGAAACAATGTTGCCACTCCAGAACAGATGACCACAACTCCACCGAGTCTTAGCCCTGATATTCTAAAAGATGGATCGCAGTGTCTTTTTGCGTCTGAACGTGTTATATCTCTGTTTGTTCCAGAGAAACAGCTTTTGTCATACTAAGAGACAGCTTTGATGTTTATGACTCACTGTCTCCAGTTAGATGATGACAGACATGTCTGGCATTTGCTCAGAACCATCAAGATCCATCCCACATACTCTCTGCATATATCTGACATTTTATACGTCACTCAGATTTAGACGTTACGTAGATTGTTAGTTTTTACACACAGTTACATATAAATGTTTTCAAAACAATACTATGGGTGATGTTCTTGACTTGGACTAACGTTTTAGGGCCCTCACCGTACATGGGGAGCATGATGTCATACTTTCTACCCATGAGCGGTCTTTGCTGTGCAAATGTAAACATTTTCCTAGTACATATCTACTAGAGAACAGATTTGCACATTTCAGTAAAAAACTGCATTGTGATAGTATGAAAAACAAATGCATTCAATTTAGAAGATTTTACAATGATTAATTGTTTGATACAAGCAGAACTCCATATGAGATTGATTGATTTAAATACAATCAAAACTCAGATTTTGTGTTTACATAGTTTCATTTCTTAGACGGACCAAAACTAAAGGCCTTTTTAAAAGGTATAAGTACATTCTGTAGCTCTTGAACCAATCAGTGGTGGAGGTGTATACTGTAAACCTTCTCCTGACCAACCTAACAATGGTATAGCTGAATGGATTCAAGTCTCAGCTGACAGTGTCAGAAATGAATGGCGGTGAAAGGTCAGAGGTCAGGCAAGAGGTGGATGAGAATGATGATGATCTACTTGTTGGCACGATGGCACAGCTTGGTCTGAGCTTGGCTCAGACTGCAGTCCATCGGCATTTGGGATTAGCCCTGAAATGGAATGACCGCATGACGATTGGTCGATTGATTGATGGGCCTGTTGCAGAGCGGATTCCAGGGTAGCCTGGATCGGAGGCTCTTACCGCAACAGATATCCGGACTCGCTTGGATGGCCTCCTGAGCTCAGGAGACACCAGGCTCTCCAGGTTGTTGTTTTTCTTCCAGGTTGAGCAGAAACAAGCATACAGTGTTAAAACCATCAGTAGTTTGATAACTTAAAAGTAGAAACAGGAATTTCAGCTCCTGATTACCAGTTATTTATGACTAAAAGTAACGACACATTTTAGTTCTTAAGCAGGTGCTGCAGGAAGACAGGTCATTCTGGAAGTGCAGCAAGACAGAAGACTAGGACAAAGTAAAGAGGTTGGAAAATGCAGCTGACTGTTTTCTGTAACTGTGTGTGTGTGTGTGTGTGTGTGTGTGTGTGTGTGTGTGTGTGTGTGTGTGTGTGTGTGTGTGTTTGAGTGGGAGGTAGTACACTGTAAAGCGTGAAGGACTGTATGTGAGAGATAGGACTGTGTGGGTGAACAAAATGTGTGAATGACAGAATGTGAGTCACACTGAGAGTGTGTGTGTGTGTGTGTGTGTGTGTGTGTGTGTGTGTGTGTGTGTGTGTGTGTGTGTGAGAAGGCACCCCTATTGTTTGTTATATTTGAGAACATGACACTCACCTCAAGGCCTTCTACGTCTGGACTGGCACAGAACAGGTTCTTCAACGCGATGCCTGAATGGTCATGTGGGCCTGCAAGAGACGGACACACTCAGAACCTTTTGGTTCTGCTCGTTGTTTACAATATAAAGTCATTTGATCTACACCTTCATGCCTCTGAGCCTCTAAAAAGAAAACAAAATTCACCAAAAAGCCTGTCAAGTTTCAATAAGTTAAATGCCTGAATCATCCATCTTCTCATTTCCTTTCCACCACTGGCTCAAAGAGTCAGTTGCTGGGGCAACAAGGTGAGTACAGATCTTCAGAACTCCTTCTCCACAGTCACCACGTTTAGGATGAGGAAGACCAAGGCGTTCCCACACCAGCTACATCGTTAACTCTGTACAGTGAGTCTTGCGGTTCTGAGTCTGAATGTAGATTTAGCAAAACATCTCATGGATCCTTAAACACCTTTGATCAAATCTAGCATCAGCATCAGTTTCATTCAAGATGGCCGTAATTAACATAAACAAGGTCAACCACGAGTCATCCACAACACAAACTCAGAGATCTGATGATGTTGTGTGAAATGACACAAATTTGATTTCCAGAGTTTACTAAAACAGCTAAAACTCCAACATATCTAAACACAAGCGCTGTTATCAACACAATGCACAGGTCATCCTAGTTTAACACCAGATTTAGCTACATTAGGCTTCAAATGGGATAAAAATGCCCTCAGTTTCTATTCTATTTAATTTATTCTATTCTATTTTAATTTAGTTTAGTTTAATAATTTAATTTATTCTGTTCTAATTTAATTTAATTTAATGTATTTTCTCTCTCACTTTTCATTTTAGGCAAAAATAGACATTCAGAGTTCTCAACAAGAATGTTTATTTTATTCCTGCCTAAATCATAAATTGCCTAAAGTTAATCTAAACTGTAGAATGTAGAACTTTACAGCAAGTAAGGGACCATTATACATCTTCATTTAAAGGCCCAGAGTGCTTTATTGGTGGGAGACTTTGCAAAAATGCCTCTTTCAACTGTCAAGATTGCAGACATTCAGGCCTCTGTCAGAATAAATTGTAATAACTTCTGACCCAAATTGTTTCGAATAAAAGCAACTGGACTTCTTGATTTCCTGAAGACGTTTCGCTTCTCATCCGAGGAGCTTTGTCACTTCTGACGGGAACAGTCCCATGTTCGTAGTCAGAACTGACAAAGCTCCATGGTTGACGAGCAAAGCGTCTTCAAGAAACCAAGTTCAGTTGCCTTCATTCAAACCCCTTTGGATTTCCATGACCTGGATGACTGAGAACCTTCACCAGCACAGTGACCTCTGATGTCTCTTACTGGTGGGAAGCTCAGTGGGTCTCTCTACCACAGAAGGTCTCTTCAGTGCAGGTTTGAGGGGCTTCTGGCCGACTGGACGGGTTGGGCTGAAGGTGGACTCCTCAGTAGAGATCTGTGTGCGCACACAAACACACACGCACACGCACACGCACACGCACACACACACACACACACACACACACACACACACACACACACAGAGAGGTAAAACACAGAGGTTCCCACATCCCTTACATATCCACCACTCTCTCTCTGACGCTGGTTCTGGAGATTTTCACTCTGCTGACGACATTCAAAACCAAGTTTACACCAGAAAAGACTAAAAGTTTCTGTAAAGCCGAACTCGGGCTGTGTCTGTTTTACTCCTTTTATTAATACTCGTGTGATTTGTTGAAGTTAAAGATAGAAATAGCATCTGTGATTTTCGCCACCTATTCTTGGACCAAACAAAAAGTTATGTTTCAATCTGCCATCTTTTAACATGCAGACTTTTAATGATAGAAATTCTTCTGCTTTGCTCCCAAATGGATGAAAAAATATACAAAGTAGACTCATTTATCCTTTAAATTGCCTTAAAACATTGAACTCGGTGCTGTGCACAAACACCTCTCAGGTCCTCACCTGAAGGTGTATTACTCATGAATTCACCGTAAGGCAATAAAAAAGGATTAAAGGAAAAAAAAACGTGATAAATGACGCGTTTGGTGCTGGAATAGATTTAGAGATCTACAGTAGAGCTGGCTGAATAATCACACACAGACTACTGAGCAGCATTAGCGATAGCGATGGGTTAATTCCTTTTCAAACTTCTTGTAAAATGCAGCAAAAAAGACAAGAGAAAGTCTCATTTCTACGTAGTCTGTGGCGAGACACGCGGCGTCCTTCTAAACTAATGTTCTGGGGAATGTCCATGTTATTTTGTTGTGTGAAACCTTGATTTAGGCGTTCTGTTGTGGTCCTAACATCTAACTGTTACAAAGCCTGAGCTGCTTAGATCTCTTCAGCATACAAGAAAACTACAGCTCAGGTGGATTTTTTAGTGTTTCACTCTTGCAAGTAAAGTTTAAATAGAGTTTAAACAAATTCAAGTCATTCCCGTGCTTTTCGTGACCTCTCACCTTGAAGCGGACCTCCTGACTGGCCCGCTGCGGCCCATCATCACTGTCGCTGTTTGACAATACAGACAGACGTTTTTTCTCAGCAGCAGCTCGCTCCCTGATGTACTCCAGCCGTCGGCTACGACCGAGCTGCTGGGAGAGCAGAGACTGGAGCTGGGATCGCTCAATGGAGCCCAGCAGGATCATCGACTCTACAGCAGGGGAGAGAAAGAAGGTGGAGAGGTGAGGACCGGCGGGACAAACAGGAGCATATGAAGGGCGAGGAGACAGTTTGGTGCTAAAACAAACAAAAGACCAAACAAACTGTTTTAGAGGGAAAAAAGGAGACGATAAGGAGACTTCAAACACATGCAACGGAGCTGCAGCTAGTAAGTGTGTGTGTGTGTGTGTGTGTGTGTGTGTGTGTGTGTGTGTGTGTGTGTGTGTGTGTGTGTGTGTGTGTGTGAGACAGAACATTCTGATTAGGCATTTGGCTGACAGTATACTGCTAATTGTTCCTGCATGATTACATAATAGAAACACCAGTTCTGTAGTCTAAGGAGGAGGCTGAGGCGGGCCAGTCGCTGATGAGCATCACCAAGGTCAGAGCTTTTCTGTTTATCCCCACAGTTCCTGTTTTTACATTCCCAGGTTCAGATGGGTGGTTTCATGTGACAGCACCAGAAGACTGAGTTGTTTACAACCCAGAGACCTCATAGGAACAGCAGAATCAGCACTTCTCATCAGTCTGTTTCTTCACGAGTCACAACTAATAACACACTGATACTTGATCAAACGCATGTGCAGTAATGTGTACAAACTCTCCTCATTTTATCTTCAGGTAGTCTGACGTGGTAAAAAGGTCTCCAGACTTGTTGAAAGTCTTCAAAAGATCCTTAATAAACTTCTGTCTGCTATTTCACCCCCATTCACCCCCACGCCTGAGCCTTTCTAAAGAGCATCTGCGTTTTTCTTTGTTGAGCCACTTAACCCTGACATTAAATGTCCTTCAGGAAACCCCGAGGACTATCGCTCAAGACCACCGTTTAGGAAAGTCTGGCTGCTTGAACTGCAGCTAAGAAGTGATGGAAGTGGTGACCTCATCTCATGATCATTTCAGTAAACCACAATAGGATTATATGTTCTGTGTATTGTCTATGTTTGCATTTTGATTGTATTATATGGAAACTTCAGCTGCATCTTAGAAGATTCATGAGTCTGCGTTATAATCCATCTGGGCTGCATAATAACTGTTCGGTAACACGTTCATGAAGTGTTTATTAACCAGTAAGGAACACAGAACGGGCTGATGTCAATAATTTGTAGCTCTAAGGTTTTTCCATGGTTTTCCATCTCTCCTATTATGGGGTGGAGGCTTTCAGACATTTAGGACTGATCAGAGCATTTTTGGTCTGTTTGTAAGAACTATCAGCCAAAATGACTCCCAGAACACTGTGGGCTGTTCTTTATAGGTTCAGTGTGCACACATAATAAGACTGAAGCAGGATGGTGGCCCAGAGATTTCAGCTCAAATAAAAAATGACAAAAGTTCAACTAAAATATGAATCATGGAGTAAACTTTTACTTTAACATCATCGTTGTGGATCTTTATAGTTAACATTGACATAAATCTTATAATCAACAACCTTCACCTACCCTGAATAACAAATGTAGATGTCCTGTTAAACTGTGCTGAGTTAAAGACTGATTTGCATATGCAGGTGTGCTTCTGTGTAGATGTTATTCATTATTACTGGTTTCCTGAGCAGCCTTTGTTTATGTTCTTCAGGCCTGAGAAGCTATCAGCTAGTCACCAGCATCAGCTGCTGACATGGTAAAAAAACTAAAATCTCTGAAATCCCTCAGAAATTTATGTCATGTTATTTAACAAACCTCACAGCGTGTCAGGCTGCAGAATGGCAATTTACAAAGATAAAGATCATCAGAAGTGAAATTTAACATTTCTGGTGCATCGTGCATCCAAAAGTCAAATCCAGCAGGAGTCTCTGAGCGGAATAATATAAACTGATGGCCACAAAAAGGTTTGTTTAGCATTTGAATGATGTTTCTACTAAGATAAAGGCATCTACAACTGGCATTAACCATGCAAACATTTTAAAAACCTTAACATTATTGTCAATTTGCAATGCTTGACTGTTTAAGGAGAGAAATAAAGAACTTCTAACTAGACTTGGCCCCTGGAAGCACCACAAGTGCTAGATTTTTATAGTGGTTACATTGAAGCTTGCACATATAGCCAAAAACTACCGGGTGAAGAACTGTGAAACTTGACAATGATGTAAAGATAGACGTAAATAAATGACATTTGCACAATGTACTAAGAAATTCAGGGGATGTTAGCTGTTTTAAGCTGCCACTAATAGAGTTTGGGCTTTGCTGTGCTTGAAAAAGCTGTTAGCTCATCAGTCATGAAGGATGTCCCAACCGTTTGATTAGAAGGCCATCAACAACACGTAAGATGGTGATTAATTCATTTTCAGAAACAGGCTATAGAAAACAACAGAAACATAGATTTGAGATTTCTCCCTGCTGTGCAAATGTGTGTCTCACCAGCTGATTCTACCAGCGCCAGAGTCTTGAGCTGTCCCGACATCAGGACGTTGTGCAGGTCTCGGTAGCAGCAGTTAAGTGTGATGTATCGCACATCCCGCACCATGATATCCTCTACTCGGATGTTATACTTCCTGAGACAAGACAAGAATCAAACCACAAGCAAATAAAAACCATGGAGTGATGAAAGAATAGAGCACAAAATAGTTAGACAAATAAATGAACACTCCATCCAGGTTCTCCAACAATGAGCTGGTGAGCGACACCATTGGAGTAAGGTCGTGTGGATGATATTGATGTAGCCTATCAAGCTTTTATAATAACAATAACTGGTATCTATGGAAAGCATTATCATCTAGAGACAAAAATAAAACACAAATGCTGAAAAAAAAACATTGTATTATACAGTGGGATGTAAGTGTGGTCAGCCTTGTTGTATACATTGTTGGTTGTTACAATAAAAAAATTCAATTACATTTTTTAATTGATTAATTATATATGTTGGTCATATTATCATAGAGGACATAACAGATGATGATGATGATGGCATGTATAGTCAGTGTCGTATTTCATTATCATTATAAAAAAACAAGAAAAGGCATAAATGACTATTATACTGAGTTATTAAACAGCAACAAAGAGTAATTGTGATTAAATTAAATTGGTAACGCTTCCTTAGTACTTACATGGTAATTACATAGTAAGTTAAAGTGTATTATTGTGTAATTAAAGCATATAATAGTAATAACGTGCAATTATTGTTTAAAGCAGTATTAATTGGGAATGATTAATAAAATATAAAACTAGAATTGAACCTGAGTTTCATGTTAATAACTGTTTAAGAACTCCAAAACAATAATACACTTTAATTTACTATGTAATTACCATGTAAGAACTCAGTAATTAGGGGACTGTAAAAGGAAGCGTTACCAAATAATGGTGGATAAAAAATGCAAAGAAAGGGAAAGAGAAAAATTAATAGGAAAGAGGGAAATCGGTGGATCCGGGGAAAGGTGGAATTGGTAGAAAAAGCAGAATAAGGAGAGGGTGATGGAGGTCACGCAAAAGCCAGCCTGAACAAGTGAGTTTTCAGCTGATTTTTAAAGGAGTCCACTGAGTCCACTGATCTCAGGCTCAGGGGGAGAGAGTTCCAGAGTCTGGGGAACACAGCAGCAAATGATCTGTCACCTTTGGTCTTTAGCCTGGTGCTGCACAACCAGTAGGCTTTGATCACTGGACCTCAGGGACCTGCTGGGGGTGTAGGGACTAAGAAGATCACCAATGTAAGATGGTGCTTGTCCATGTAAGGCCCTATAGACCAGAACCAGGATCTGGAAATGAACCCTGACGTTGACTGGCAACCAATGAAGCTGGAGGAGAAGCGGAGAGATGTGGGTGTGTTTGGAGGACTTGGTCAGAAGCCGAGCACAGGCATTCTGAACCACCTGTAGACGGTTCAGGGAGGTTCTACTCAGACACGTGAAAAGAGAGTTACAGTAGTCTAAGCGTGAGGAGATGAAGGTGTGGATAACTGTCTCAAGTTCAGAGCGGGACAGAATGGGACTCAGCTTAGCAATGTTCCTGAGATGGAAGAAGGAAGAGCAAACAAGAGAACTGACATTAGAATCCAGGGTGAGAGCTGGGTCAAAGGTCACACCAAGATTTCTGACAGAGGGTTTGGTGTGAGAAGCAAGCTGACCAAGAAAGTCTCCCCAGCATCCTCCACTTAACTGATGGTAAAATGCCCATTGCCCATTGCTCCTCTGTTAACATAAGGTGAGAATTATCCATAAGCGCTTCTGCGGGCGCCTACTGTCTGTGAAGGCCAAGTCATCTTCTTTTGCAAACTGGGAAAAATCTCACTACAGGCTGGACTTTGTCACTGGCGTCTCCTAGTGTGAAGGTGTGTTTAAAAGGCTAATGACGCTAACATGGGAGAGGACGTGCAAAAGTCACTGCTGCTGCTGCACTGAAATTAACTATTCAGGGGTTGGTCAAAACACGACATTCACTTTTAGTTATCAAATATTTTGTGTGCAAATGCTTTATGCATATTCTTGGTGTTTCCTCTCTTTGATGAAATATCTACTTTGCAAGTAATGCAAGTTATCTTGTGACCCTTTCTCGTGAAGTATAACAAAACTTTCAAGCATTTGTGAAGCTTAGGCGCAATGCTTCCCACTGAGAAAATGTGTGAGCTCCCCAACGTAGCTTGCATACGCTATGCAACGTGCGTGATGACGTCATTTGCCCCGACTGGAAACGATAAGAGAATTGTTTGCAAAAACGTCAAATGATTCCTAGGAATTGAAATAGTGGGAATTGGTTCTCAACAAAAAATGGTATTTGATTCCCACCCATGGGCTGGATGAGAGGCTAGAGTTTGTATATTCAAAGCTTGGTGGTCAAGTGGTGATGTCCTCAACCTTATGCGATGTCTGGCCGGGTCTGACTGGAGGGCGAATAGGAACACCTTGATATTGGTGTATAGAGGCGTGATCAGGTCGGCCTTGGACTATGGGCATTTCCTGTACGGCTCTGCTGCTCCTACAACCCTGAAGCAGCTGGATGTGTTGCAAGCGGCAGCCTTCAGGGTCTGCAGCGGGTGTGGTGATGGACGTGTTGGGGGGGGGGGGGGGGTTCTGATTGACTAAGGAGGCAGGCGGTGGAGTTGGGCTTGCCTGAATGACCTGCGAGTTCCCAATTTTTTAGGCTGAGGTCCCCCTGCCCTGGCTTTGGCCTGAGCCTGTGGTGGATTTTACGGGTATGGTTTGGGGGCTGTATTTGCAGCTGTTTTCTGATGGCTCCAAAGAGCTGGAGCGTGGCAGGCTGGGTCTTAGTTGTGGTCGCCGGTTACGGGATGGCTGTTAGGTGTTCACAGCTGAGTTCATGGTGGTCTTACATGCTCTGTTGTTCTGACACTACGGCTAGGCTGGAAGTGCTGAAAGGGAAGTGTTCAGGGTCTCGGTCTGACCTGTTGGCTTCTGTCAGGTTGAATCTGCATAAGTTGGGTGCTCTCGGATGCCAACAAAATCAACAAAGAAGTCTGGAACTCCAATGCAATGAGGTCTATCCAGACCTTTACATAGGGGAAACTAATAAACAACTACACAAGTGCATGGCACAAAACAGGAATTGCCCCCTCGTCAGGTAAATAATCGACAGTCTACTTACACCGAAAGGACAAGAGACACTCTTTGAACATGATAAAATGCACATCTACAAGATAAAAAAGCACCTAATGTTACAATAAATGAAAACGCACCAAACACTATTTGCATTCTCTAGTTCCAAACATATTTCATTTTTCTCAGCTTCAAAAGGCATTTTTCTTTAGGGGACTATGGTATTTTGTCCTAAAGTGGAAGTGGTAGCAGCCAGCTGTTTCTCCTTCTCTGATACAATTGAGCAGAGAACCTCTCACACCAGCAGCGTTCTGCTGCAAAATGCTCAAGCGCGTTGGTGCAAACCAAATGCATTGGTTCGGCGAGACAGACAACCAGACGGTCCAATCATTGGTTTCAAACCGAGCCATGTTCTTGGCTGAGGTTTTTAGTCAAATGTGAGAGAACCCCTTCATAATTTGTTTAATTGATTAATTTCCACAATATATCTACATCTATACTACATCAAAATGGTGTTTAGATACATGAAACAAATGTTTTTAGCTAGCTTGTTTTGCAGATTTGCCGTTGTATCGTTTATCACTCTGTTGCTGGCTCTGTTATTCCCTCTGCTGTGGTCTGTTGGGGTGCAGGCAGCACTGACTGAAACAGGAAGAGACTCAACAAGCTAGTTAACAAAGCTAGCTTGGTTCTGGGTTGCCCACTGGATTCAGTTGAGGAGATGTGTGATAGGAGGATGCTGGGGAAGATGACCTCATCTTTAAAAACCCCTCCCACCCACCGCGTTCCACTGTGAAGACCCTAACCCTAACCCTAACCAAATATGGTGACAGTTTTGATTTCTCCATGTTTATGATGGCAATTTTTATCAAGTTCAGAATGTTCTGAAAAGTAATCCGAAGGATAATCTGAGCCTATTGCTGTTTATTGCTATGAACATGTGCTGGCTGAGGCTTATTAAACTCACTAGTGGATCTGACAGAACACAAATGCATCCCTCTGAACTGGCCACAGCACCTGCTCAGGCAAATTTCCCCTGAGATCTTCAAGGTGGAAGAAATCAAATTATTGTTTTTTATTTAACTTTCCCTTTCACCAAGACCAAGACAAAGAATCTTATCAGCCTTCTTGAATTCTATAAGTTGCATAACTCATGATTGATTGATTGTTCCTCTGTGAATCCCAGTTCATTTTATTTTTTGCAAGCACACCCACAGACGCTGGATTAGACGGAGATCTGAAACTTTCCTCAAAGAGTTTTGGAAAAACATGCAGAGAAAGGCGAACATGGTCTCCACAAATGTCAAAGCAAGCTTAAAATGACAGTGAGGAGGAGGGAAAGTGGAAATACTAAGAAACAAAGTGACAAGAGAACAATGGTGACTGTGATGTTATGTAATGGTTTCCATAAATGGAACCAAATAGATTTCTTCCAATAAAACTGGGTATGATACCCTTGGAAAGACCGTTTTTATGGTTCTGCTGGGGACGAGCGGAGAGAAGGATCGTGTTTTGTGCTGAGAATAAAAAAAGACAAATCCAGTCATTATACTGTGTGTGTTGTTGCAAAGGAGGCGTTACGTAAGTGTTCCTGCTAAGGTGTGTGTGTGTGTGTGACTACGTGGGTGTGAGGGGGATCATTTCTAGTTTGGGTTAAAAAATGCATCCAGCACCAAGATATTTTGACACTTTCATAATTTTGGTGAAGCAGGTTTATTAATTTAGCATCTAAAGAAATGACTTCTGACAAGCATTACTAACTGTTTTGTTTTTATGATCATTTTAAGACTTTATAATTAGTTTTGTTGATCTTTGTGAAGCACTTAGTGATTTTTCTTTCTGTGATAAATGGTTTATGTTATGAGCCTCTCCAGTGGTTGTTGGTTACAGCACATCTCACTGGGTTCAGTCTCTTGGTCATTATCTCTGTGAGTTTTATGCAACACCACGGATATCTGAGAGAAAACTAGTGTCTCTTTGACTAAATGCTCACAGCGTGGCATTTTCAGATTGGAGGATGGGAAGCCGGCATGTCAGTAGAAAGTGAAGCCTCCTGTGGAGGCTGCCTGTCTAGGTATCTCATTATAACGGGTATAGACTCAGGCCCTGTCCACACGTAGCCGGGGATCTGCCAAAACATAGATATTTTTCTACGTTTTGGCCTGTCATCCACACGAAAACGGAGTTTTTTCAAACGAAAACGGATCTTTTTAAAAACTCCGGCCAAAGTGAAGATCTGCGTTTTCTCCGTTTTGGGTGTCTGCGTGTGGACGGACAAAACCGGAGTTTTAAGGTCCGCAAAGTCACTTTCCGCGACACAAAAATGCTGACATCACGTGTGCGACCTGTGTTTACACTAGCCGACAGCATGGATGCCCTCAGAGCTGCGCTCGCTTTATCAATTGTCCAAGCGCTTTTTGCTTGTTTGTTTTTGCAAGCGGAATTACTGCTCCTAGCGGAAGACCACAGACGAAGGACGAGGTTAAGAATGGGGGAAGTACTGCCGCCTACAGGTCTGGAATGTCCTTAACAACGTATTTATCAACGAGGCTGTGTGGATGCAAGTTTTTGGAGGGGCGGATATTCGTTTTTTTAAAAACCCCGGCTACGTGTGGACTAGATGTCAGACTGGTTACCTTTATGATCGGCTAACCTGTTGGGTTCATCAGTCAGACAAATGATTACAATGATGCTGCTACTGATACTAGGACCTGACATGTATAGGGTAGGGTTATGGGCTGTTATGGTGTTATATGTTTGCAGCAATAATTCATTTGCAGAAGGAAATAACAGTGCCCGTTCCACTGGGATGACACAGCTCAGCCTCAGGGATCCTCTACAGTGCTGGAAAGAAGGCTGAGACTGTAAGCTGAACATCAGTAGGACCATATGTCTGGAACAGGAGAGCACATTTTCATTATTTGCTGAGATATTTGGGTGGGTGAATAGCGCAATGAGGGTTTGGTTATGTTTTGAGGACCTGGAGTAGTGGGATTAAGCTTTAGGAGTATGGGATTCTGATGCCATTTTTAAGCGGTACCCAGTCTTGTACAACTAAAGCATTAATTCATTCATTTTCTCATAGCAAACTCAAACTCCTTCCTGGTGCAGGCTGGGCTCCACCAACTTTGGTTAAATCCAGTTAGTGGTGTTCATAAACAGAATCTCTGAATACAGGGAGAGTTCTTGTTTCTGCTCACAGCTAACGAGGTTCCATCAAGGCCTTTGAACTATGACCTTCAGTATGTCCTGGGATGTCCTGATAACAGCCGGTGTGACAGTCAACTCGTGTAAATTTGAAGCCACAGAAACCACCTGGAAAAAGGTGGAATGCTCCCCATCTCTGGGTTTGGAGTGAGTCTTAACTTCTTCAATAATAAATGTCAGAAGAAGTGACAAAATGACAAATTGGGAGTTTGACTTTAGCTCCAGCCTGTTGGAGCCGGTAAAGGTCGTAAAAGCAAAGCTCTTGACTTATACTGCTATGACTACATACCAGCCCTCACCTGAGGTCATTTGGATCCTGGATACAAGTGGCTGAAATGAGCTTCCTCCAAAGCGTGTCTTAAGCCTAGTTCCCACTTTTCTGTCGAGGGGCACGGAGACACACACCATTATCTGTTCTTTGCAGCCAGCCCATAGAGGGTGACGAAGAGGGTTAGCTACTCAATTTGTAAATGTCTGCTATGGAGAGTGCAAGCCTTGACCTCCATATGAAAAGGAGGTTATGGTAGGGGAACAGAGGACTGCAGGAGAGATGGAGAACAAGAATAAAGTTGTGGACGGGAGTCAGCCTGTGTGCTGGTGTCGAGGAGTGAAGGAGGAAAGATCTTCAGGAAAGATGATTAAAAATCAGATACATAGTTAGCTCATTTCTCCCAGTTTCTGAAGGACAAACGAGGTTTTTCTTTCAACTTTGCATCATCATAAAAGCGTTTGTAAACTTCTGTCATGGTTAGGTTCAAAAATTAGATTTAGTTAAAAATGGGTAGTCTTTTTCATTATGTTGGTGATGATTGTAATATGTGAGATGATGCTGGTGTTTCTGCAGAGGTCCCTGCTGTACGTACTCATGGTGACCCCAGCCCAGCTCTGGAAGGTAGGGCAGTTTCTTGATCCTGATGATGGAGTCGTAAAGCGAGGGCTGTAATGACTGAGCCACAGCGTTGGCCAGGATCACAGCAATCATCACCGGCAGGATGTGTGAGATCTGGCCTGTCAGCTCAAACACGATGACTGCAGTAGAAACGGTGTGGGTCACTGCTCCTGATAAGGCTGCTGCACCTATGGACGGGGGGGGGGGGGGGGGGGGGGGGGGGGGGAATGGGGGGGGCAATGGGATGAGCAAAAACAGCAGAGGCTCAGTGCTGTTCAAATCAGCAGATTTCAAGGTGAGGTCTAGACCTTTCTTCAGAAGCATCATAAATCAAAGCTCTAACTTGCATAAAGACCAGTACCAATAAATCAATGCAGACAATCGTGGCATTGTTAAGTTTTGTTTTGTGCAACAATAGTTCAGCTGGATAGGTTTAAACTTTACCTTTGAGCTTCTACATTGACTCTCTGTACACCCTTTACTCACTCTCACACACACACACACACACACACACACACACACACACACACACACACACACACACTAGGGATGCAACGAAAAAATTTTTTTTTTCAAACTGATACGATACCGATACTTGGATCCGAGTACTCGCCTGTACCGATTACCAATACTTCTACTGTACAAAAAATTGCAATGTTTTATTTTGTTCTCTGCTTTCATCAGGAAAAGACTGTGAGGTAGATTAAAAATAAAATATATGAATAGAACGGATTTTTTTTCAGGGTCAGCAACAATACTCAGGTGGGCTGTGGTGTTGCAGCCATCATCAATTAGTGCTAAGGGGCCCAAAGTGTGCCAAGAAAATGTCCCCCGCACCGTCACACCACCACCACCACCCTGAACCCTTGATACAAGGCAGGATGGATCCATGCGTTCGTGTTGTTGATGCCAAATTCTGACCCGAACATCCAAATGTCACAGCAGAGATCGTGACTCATCAGACCAGGCAACATTTTTCAAATTTTCCATTGGCCAACTGTAGCTCACTGGATGTTTTCTTTTTTTGGACCATTCTCTGTAAACCCTAGAGATGGTTGTGTCAACAATCTTAGAAGCTCCGCAGCTTCTGAAATACTCACACCAGCCTGTCTGACCATGTCATCATGCCTAAATGCACCGGGCTGCCAACATGTGACTTGCTGATTAACAGTTAGCGTTAACGAGCATTTGGACAGGTGTACCCAATAAAGTCGCCTTCTTTAAATTTATTGTTTATCTCTTGAACTCTGCAGGGACTGCAACTAATGACAGTAAACACGTTTCAATCACAATAACAATATTCATTCATTCATGATATTTTTTTCCCTCAGTCTCTCCTGCGTCACCATTCACAAATAAAAATAAAAAAAGATTACATACCTTATTAAAGATCTTGAGGTTAATTTAAAAACATTTCAGAGTTCTGGGTAGAGCTTTGTATCATTTAGGTGAATTCATTATTCGTTTACATTAAAGTGGTTAGTAGGCCGGTACAGACGTAAACAACGTTTCCGTCAATGACAGAAAAACCCACAATGATCACAGAAATAACTTGAATCTGACTAAAGTAAAAATAAATAAAAATTCTATGACATGTAACCAATGAGATTCAGACATTGCTTTTCAACCATGCTTCAACTGAGTTATTTAAACAAAAACAAACTAATAGAACAGGCCTGGACACAAGGATGGTACCAGGACACATGATCAATCGGGTCACAGTGACAGGACGCTCACACTGTCACAGATGCATTCTGTCTCATTCCCTATTCTTCGCTTCAGGCTGTGTGTGTGTTTGTGTGGGTGTGTGTGTGTGTGTGTGTGTGGGGGGGTCTTGTTCTGTGTGAACACGAAGCAGTACAAGTGATAATGCTGCTGGAATTCATAATTGTGTCCTTCTCAGCAGCAGCACTGCAGGTGCTCTTTATGTCCAAAATGTGCGTAAACCAGGGGTCTCGTTTATCAAACATTGCGTAGAATCCTTACTAAAACCGTACTTAGCTCAGCAACAACAAAAGTACTTACTCCAAGTAGGTTTGTGATCTATCAAACATGGAGTACGCACAGCTGCACGCAATCTCTGCTTCATGAATCAGAAATGATCTAAAGGTTCTCAGCTGCATTTTAGTCA